ATTGATGATTATGGCCATACAACAATATGTTAATGGGATGTCATTAAGTCAGTGGTTAGAGAAAAATCATTGGCTATACATACTTATTAGACAAGAAAAAAATATAAAAACTGATCATTGAAGCCTTTACCTTAAGAAAATAGGGAATACAGTTTAAAAAAACACTAAATGAAACTTCAATGAAATTGATAGTGGACCAGCAACAAAGAATATCAACAAAGTTTGATTTTGATGACCATCTAGTAACTCTACCAGCAGAGTGAAAATATGAGATATGAGCTTTTTTGTCTATACCTTTACCATCTTATACAAAATAAGGGCTCAGATATAAAATTGCAACTACTAGTCATGTCTGGTCTGAACCCCCTAAAATCTTAGATCCAAAGAGGAATCTTACCTGATAAATTATTTTATGCCAAGTGTTATTCATCTTCACAGATGAAACAAAGTAAAACAAAAGCACCTGCCCTTACCTCTGATTCATTTTATGGAGAATGTCTTTTTTAACTAAGAAGAATTTACATTACCCTAGCAATTTTACTGGCACTTGATTTCCACAGGTCTAAAATGTCTCATCAGAAATGATGAGTTGCATAGGAATAAAGTATAAAGTACAATTGGCAACTTATACACATGAACGGTAAGGTTACCTACTTTCTCAGGCTAGTTATGGGTCTTCCTAATTAATTTTTTATTAATTTTTTTATTGTTGAAATACCATACAGAGGGGTTACAATTACATGAACAAGGTAATGAGTACATTTCTTATCAAGCATTGTTGCCTCCTCCTTTGTTTCCCCTTCCCATCCCTTCCTATCTCCCCCTTTTCCCCCCTCCCCATCAAAGTTGTAAAGTTCTTTTTTCGACATAACATCTTGTATATCTCATTGTTGCAATGGGTCCACCAGTATCCCTATTTAAACAACTTGATTTTTTCCCTTTGCCTCCCCAAATTATACCATCAAATACAGTGAAAAGAGGGGTACCATAAGGGAGGGACATACAAAGCCACAAAGAAATCATCTTATAAATATGTTAGAAACAATAGCAAGAAAGAAAAACCTTTTGAGTCCTTATCTTGGGGTTCATTTCACCTAATATCAACTCATTTGACCGTTTCTGCTTGTCTCAGACATATACTAGTTATTGCAAATAAGGGAAACCATGGGACCTATGCGTCTTTGGGCCTGGCTTACTTCACTTTTCCAAGTCTTTCCATTTCCTAACAAATGGGGCAATCTTATTCTTTCTGATGGAGGCATAGAATTCCATTGTGTATATATACCACATTTTCTTGATCCATTCATCTATTGAGGGGCATCTGGTTTGCTTCCATATCTTAGCTCCATATCTTAGCTATGGTAAATAATGCTGCAATAAACATAGTTGTGCTAGTAGCTTTAATATGGTCTTGTTTGTGATCATCGGGGAATGCCCAGAAGTGGGAGTGCTGGGTTATAGGGGAGCTCTATGTGGAGTCTTTTGAGGAACTTCCATACTAATTAATTGTTCTTAATTTCAACAACTTCACCATAGTAGGTAACTTTAACTTAATGTAAGAAAATGTACATTTAAAAATGTGTGTCGGTGGCTCACGTCTGTAATTCTAGCTACTCAGATAGGATCCTCCTATCTGAGGATCACGGTTCAAACCAGCCCAGGCAGGCAATTCCGAGACTCTTATCTCCAATTAACCACCAGAAAAGTGGAAGTAGCACTGTGGCTCAAGTGGTAGAGTGCTACCCTTTAGCTGAAAAGCTGAGAGACAGCACCAAGGCCAGAGTTCAAAACCCAGGACCGACCAAAAAAATAATTAAAAAATAAGTTTAATCCTCTGTTTTAATCATGTAAAACACATCTTTTGTAAAAGGCTTGGAAAATGTTTTTACAAAAAATAAAAATAAAAAGGTCCCCAGTGTATAATCTAAAGGTAAATACTATTATAGTCTTCTATCTCCTTCAAGCATACTATCATCAACTATTGGTACGTAATAGTATGTTGGTTTTTACTCTGCTTTATGTACTATTCCATTTATTTTCCTGTCAATAGAATTTCATAGGAAATTTTCTCCCATGTAGAATCCATACATCTCAAGATTATTCCCAGACCTTTACTACCTCTGCAACCTGGTTCCTAGTACCATGTATTTACCTTGTAGATCATGTTTTTCCTTGCCATTTTAACAGAATAGCATTAAATCATAAGTTTTGTGTCCTCTTAGAAGAAAGCTGTATAGAATTCCCCAGTGCAGCTTTCCTTTCCATGCTTAGATTGCATGTTTCATACAGTTCACAAGTTAAAGTATTTAGAATAATTTAAAATAAGTATTGTCAAGCTCTCTGGACTTGTGTGTGGATTTTCACTGGACTATCTCTAATGTATTGTCATGATTTTTCCTTTTCATACTGGTATTGAGACTGGCTGTATCCTTAGTATTTCTTGTGAGAAATAAATGAAGAATTAAATAGGATTATGATTTCTAGATTATCTTTCACTGTGGGTACAAAACCACAGACCTAAGCTTACTTTAGGTTACTTTTTCTTTTTTTACTCTGTCTAGCTACTAGCCTCTTAGTCAGAATTCTAGCATCAGTATTTGTAATAGAGACAGTTCTGTGAGTGTCATTCTTTGTGTATCTTTTTTTTTTTTTTTTTTTTTTGCTTATGTGGTGCTGAGGAATCAAACCCAGGGCCTCAAGCATGCAAGGCAAGCGCTCTACCACTGAGCCACCTTCCCAGCCCTCTTTGTGTATCTTCTTAGTTAAGGGAGGAAAGAGATGAAGAACTAAATTATTGCTCTATGACATTGCATGTGTGTTTCACTCATGATTATTACATTTCTCTTAGGGCATCTGATTTATGTTTGATTAAAAGTACTTTTTTCAATATTTATCTCAATTTTCTTATCATGAGAGTTAAAACTCCCATTTAAATGTTCTTACTTTCAGTCTTTTGAAAATTGTTTCAGTGTCTACATTTGTCAGTTTAGGAAAATTAGAGGTTTATTAAACCTACTGTGGTGGTTAAACCATGTAATTCTAGTACTTGGGAGGGTGAAGTGGAAAGATGACAAATTCAAGAAAGAGCTGGTATGTTCAGCCTAGTCTTCAGAATGAGATCAAGTCTTATCAGGGCTTTGTGGCTAACACTGTCTCAAAGCAAAACCAAAACCAAAGAACAATAATAAAAATAACCAAAACCCCCAAAGCTTAATGGATATAGTTTTACCTATTTACTTACTCAGAGTTCTCTTACTTGGATTTCTACTTCCGTTAAAAAAGTCAGCTGAGCTGGCATGGTTATATACCTGTAAACCAGAATTTGGGAGGCTGAAGCAGGAGGATCGTGAGATTACATACAATCTGGACTATAAAGGAAGAGTTTACTTAAAAGAAGTGGGGCAGGGACTAGCCAGATAAAAGTTATTTTTATCCTGTAATTCCAGCTATTTGGAAGGCTAAGGAAGGAAGAATCCTTGAAGTGTCCCTGAGATGCCCACCTCAAAAAAGAAAACATTTTTGGTACATGCCTATAATTCTACATACTTCGGAGATGAGGAGGAGGAGAAAAAGGAGGGGAAGAGAGAAGCAGGAGGAAATAGAGGGCCAGTTCAAACAAAAGGAAAACATTAGTAATACCTGCAAGTCAAAAAGTCAATAAAGGTTCATGCCTGCATTCCCAGCTATGAAGAGGCAGAAAGAGGACCTTGGTCTGAGGCTAGCCAAGACAAAAGCAAGACTGTATTTGGAAGCATGGCTCAAGTCATGGAGTGCTTGTCTACCAAATCAAAATACCACCACCACCACCACCATCAAAAAAAAAAAAAAGCATTTTTTGCATATTTAAATATTGACTATTACTGAGGCAAAGGTCTGCTTTATCATTTCTAATATTTCTCAAAGTTAAGAATCTATACTTTTTTCAATTGAGTATCATTTGTCATCTTTTCTTGTTCTTTTCATAATGATCCTCACAATTTTTTAGCACCTTTAAAAAGCACACATTCTACAAACCTATTTATGGTATTAAATCTATTTTAGTACTTAACATCAGAGCCCTTAGGACACATTTTTTTGGTTGCTATAATTGTTATTCATGTATCACACAATTATTTTCTTTGCTCACATCTTTAATGTAAGAAAAATGGTTAATATTTGATAATTAAAGACTTGGTTGGCAGTTATGTCACAGACTGGCAGAAGGTTATACCTGTTAGAAAAGCATAAAGACGGAGGGTGAAGAGAATGAGGGAAAAATGGAACAGAAGCACACTACAGGACACAGGAATGGCAAGCTTATTTTGTAGAAGATTTCTACTATGTCTTCTAATAAAAGTTATCAAAGTAAATACCACTCTTGGGCTTATTTTAGAAACAAATGATTCCAATGTGGAGGAAACACATGCTCCAACATTCTAAACCAAAGTACTGAGAAGGCTGCTACTGTGGACTCAGAGGAATAGGTTATATAGAGATTCATTAGGGATGTTTAGAGAAAGACTTTCTTTTCCTACTTTACTTGCACAGACAATATATTAAAATTTATAGGCTTATTGTTTCTTTTTCTTGAGGAATAATTCAGGGTTTATAAGTGTACTAGGTATATAATTTTTCTAAGAGCACTTTGCTACAATTTTAAGCACTAATTACTGTTATTAACTTGATTAAAAAATATCCTGCCTCAAATATAATTCTGATACTATTAAATGGTTACATTGTTTGGAATAACTGAAATTAAGAAAGGACAGGAGTGACAGAAAAAAGAACCCTTAAGTGTTAATGTACTTGGTATCAGGATGGTAGGAACATGCTAAAAACTAAATGTACACTATCTCACAGTTTAAAACAATTTTTAGTAGATTCCAAAAAATACTAGCTTCCCTGAAGAGGAAAGAAAATCACTATGCATAATTTAAGCTTTCATATGAAAAGAAAGCAGCAACACACTAAGAAAGACATTTTTAGGGAAGATTCAAATAAACACAAAATAAGCCAAGTAATTGTGAGTAAGTAGTAACAACTTTATTTTTACCTCAACAGTGCTGAAATGCAAAAGATATTTTCAGCAACCAGATACAAGGAGCATATATCTCATCATTAACACCAACTGATTAAAAACAACGTTGAAAAGTTTGGTAAGCTTTTATACATTGAAATCTTGAAAGTCAACTGTCTTGAACAAAAATTTTAAATTTAAATAATTTTAGCAGAACCTGATTTCCAAAAATGTGAATCAATTAAGTTATATCTTCATTATTAAAAGCTGAACAAACACAAATTAACTGGATTACAATATACAACAACAAACTAGTAACAGAAAAATATTTAAATATAAGAATTCCTTTTCAAACAAGCTCACATACTACAAACAGAAGACACTGTGTGATTTCATTCCTAGTGAAGAGGAAGTCTTGCATATGGTAGGCACTCAATATTTTTCCAACTGAACCTAAAATTTGCATCATCCTATGAATGTTTCAATAAAGTAGAGTTCATTATCTGTATTAAAAGTTTGCAAAATACTCTCATGTGTGCTGACAGTGCTCTTTACACTCTAGTAACATTAAACAATTCCACTTATCCACCCACCTCCTTTTTTAGGAATATACTATATCTTTTACCCATCAGAAGTCATGTATGTTCAAGTCAGACTAGTATACCTGCTTAAGAATATGTGGCTATTTGTTGTCTCTCAAAGATGGTTAAGTTGGATTTTCACAAAATTTTTAGGCAAGGTCCTATTATATTTTAGTAATAATAGCAGCTACAATCCATATTTATGTGTGTGTGCATGTGCGTATATATGCATGCATGCATGTGTGTGTGTGTGTGTGTGTGTGTGTGTGTGTGTGTGTGTGTGTGCTCTGACAGTGCTGGGGATTAAACCCAAATTTTCACAAGTACTAATAAGTACTTTTGCCAATGAGGTACAACCACAGCACTTATCCACAATTTTAGACTGCTGCTATGATTTTAAATTTATGCATAAAATTTTACATAGGTAAACATAGGTAAAATAATAACTAAACATTTGACAATTTAGGCTATCATTTAGCTCTAACTTAAAAATGAACCAATAATGATCTTAATAACACCTTTTAAGAGACCTATGTTAATATTTTAAAACTTAATTACAATGGACATCCTTAAAAGGCACAGCTTTCAAATTCTGTCATGCAGTAAAGTGGTCAAATTTGGGTATAATTTACAGTTAATCAACTACCTACCCAAATAAAACCCATTTAAAGGAAACACGTTAACTAACCTGAACTGTCAACACTGAACTAAGTCCTATTTTCAGAAATCACTCTTCTGAACAATATACAAGCTCAGGTGAATATATAGACACACACCAACGCATGTGCACATGAATGTGTTCGCACACGTGCACACACACACAGACACAGACAGACACATACAGACACACACACACACCCCTCACACAAATAACCACTCAATTTATGCAAGGTTTTCAATCACCACTTGAAGACAACGACTTAAGAGTATTCAAGGAGGTAACATTGGCAAGCCATATCACGGCACCTTCATATTTGTGCTCCAAATACAAATATACATTAAAACTAACAAAATGAAAAAGGCACAGATACAGTGCTTATAGATCTTAGGTGTGAAGTACAATTTTTAATGGTTATTTTTCTAATATATAATAGCTAAAACCACTCACTACTTTTTAAGGAAAGTCTTGTCTAGATGACAAAAGGGAAATGACAGCTGCTGTTAGTTTAAAAGCCAAAACTGCTCTAGAGAGAAACTGCGCCTATTTTGAACAGAATGTCTATAGTATGGAATGGGGAAATGGGTGGGACAAGGTTTAGAGCACTCAAATAGGAATACAAGTTTTTAAAAATCGTTGCTTCAAGAACTCATAATACCAAAAATATACATAATAAATAAAAAAATAAATCAACTTCCATATGATTCATTAGTATAATGGTAGGCATTATATTATCTGAACAGTGGACATTTTTACAAACATACATACACAGCACAGTGTTTGACATTTTTGGTACAAAATATGCTACCAGAACTTAAAAACAAAACATAAACCTTATAGTAAGATCATTAAGATATGCAATAGAGTAAGGGCAAGCTGAAATGCTCACTATATGGGATCACTTCTAGAGTCATTGTAGTTAGAAATGTAGACTGAAGCAGTGAATTATTTCACAATATGCATTTGATATAAATGGGTACACTATTTTTTAAATATACCTTAATAAATTTCTATGGCTGGGCAAAATGTTTGTTTTTTCCTAAGGCCATAAGAATAAAAGTGTGTATTTGTATATGTTTATTTTTAAATTGCACATTATAAATTTAACAGACTCAATCTTTCAGTAGTGTTAAGGAAATTAATTTCTACTTGCCATGATCTTCTTGTATAGGATTAAAGATGATCACCAGGTAAGAATCTTGCTTCTATCCCAAGGGATTCTTCCAATTTTAAGTTGCCATAACAAAGACTCAATTAATATAGGATATTTAAAAATATAATTTTTTCAGACTCCATTTTGTTGTGGACAACAAATATTTATTTGAAAATGTTCAATGTAAAGATGAATCACTCCTGATGTCTTAGGAATGCTTCAGTTAACATTTAATAAAGTGATAGCAAATTAAATCCACTTTACAACCTCAAGCTTCCTATTTCTCCTTTTATCCTGAATTCACAAACAAAATACACAAATTATCCCACATATAGGTATATGCATTTGTGTTTCTCAGTGACACGCTTTTTTTCTTGCAGTCAAATATAAATCTTGCCTAAGCAGCGCATTGATAGTGCTGAAGTAAGTTGGATACAGTAACCTGGACACTGATCACTCCTGCTTCTCTAACAGTGTACAGGAAGAGATCTCACAACTCTGAATAGTTGTGTCTTTAAAGCTAAGATTCATTAGAATAAAGAACTGGCCCATATAAAGCAGTTTATAAATAGTTTATCCTGTTCACATTATACAGAATTTCAATCATCCATAATGTTAGTATAGTAACTAAAACACAAAGGAGAAAGTGTGGGGAAAAAAGTCTTAGTGTAGCCTGACATAGTCTATGGGTCTCTCCTTTACTATACATCTTTCACAGGCATTCAGTGTTGAAAGGAAGTGGACTGTCCATGATTCAATTACTGTCTGGGTGCCTTGTCCAAAGTGAAATAAAGCAGAAATAAATTCAATAATGAATATGTGAAATCAAACTAATTCATCCATCATCAAGGATCTTCCTTATCTATTATCACAAACATCTCAGTTGCCTCCTATTTTAAAAAATTCTTCCAAAAGTTAAAACACAATTATACTTATTAATTTCCTCAAAAGCAAAAAAATATATGTACCATTCAGAATACAAAAGTTACACATTAAAAGTGCATATATATCTTTCTTAATTGGCCCACATGAATTTACATTTGGTCATCCTTACTTTTAACATGTACAGAATTCTTCATATAAACATAGGTCATTATAAATTAAAAAAAAATTACTTCAGCATAAAATATGCCCTTTTACTGAAATCTTAACCTCAATCAGTTCTCAGTTATTGTAAACTCAGATAAACCCACACTTTCTTGGACAGTGAACATAAGGACAAACATCACAGATTTTACTAAAAATTTGGGCTAACTCATTGCATATTTGCCCCTGAAATGAAAATAAATTAAATTGAAGCAATGTATTGCCATAACCTACCCTGAAGGTAAGCAGGTTCTTCTATATTTATAGAGCTCTGACTGGAGACATTCCTGATAATCTCCAATACAAGTGCTTTGAAGGAGAACCTAGTTTTATACTTTGAGATAGCATAGGACAAACCCTATAAAATTAATTTTCCTTTTCTCAAAATAATGGAAGATTCTTTTGAAACTTAGTATCTTCAGTTATCAATATTACTGCATTATGGAGCTAGTGCAATCCTGCATAGCCTTGGTCAAAATGCAAGGCACAATAAAAAAATTATTCTATGAACAAGAGAAGTCATTGAAGATAATTTAAGGCCTTGAAGTGAATTAATCAGTCTAATTTAAAGCTGAAGTATAAACCATAAATTATCCACTTGAAATGCAAGCAATATGACTTTCCAGCTTCTTCTGTTCTGTGGACAAGAAAACAGAAACAACTCCTGCTTGTGGTCTATATCAGAATCCTTCTGCACCTGGAAGAGTAAAGTCAATCCCGATTTCTATTGTCCATGGAAGTGTCAGGACTGCTTTAGCCGTTTGCGTGGAATGCCGAACTGCGGACACTGTGCAGATGCCAGTGCTCGAAAAGCTTCTGCCACTAAGTGAGGGTGAGACTGAATCATGGCCTTCCACCCAGATGTTTCCATTATGTCAGCTGCTTGGCTAAAAAATGAAATATAATGATGGTTATTAATGAATCTTTCCCAAAATGAACAATGTTAACTTATTCTATTTTTTTTCATATGTGAATTTTGAAATGTCCAAACACTGCCTAACTTTCTCCATATGTTCAAATCATTTAAATTATCTTAAAAGTCTTACTGTTGTTTTGTTTCAAATCAAAGAATGAAGTTTTTAAAAGTTTGATCCCTGAAATATGCATTGTTCTAGTTTCTTATCTTACTCCCCTTAATTGAGGTTGTTGCAATGCTTTCTTAGTAACATATTATATTATATTATATATTATGCTCTCTTCTAGAGGTCCCCTTCCAGATATTTAAGTCTTTGGAACAAGAAACCTGGTTAATGCTTGCTCCCTACTTTCTCTGTTGCTTTCCACTGCTACTTCAATGATCTGGCTTTTTATACTCCACTACTGAATTGCTTATTGTACCTACATAGGTAACATGCCATCAGTGAGAAAGAAATCTGAGTAAAGTGACTCTTTCCTTTTTTCACTTTTGCCAGCCAAAATATACAAATAATCAAATACTTTAGATTCCCCTTTCAAAAGGATTCTTATGAACTTTGATTTCTTTGTAACTTCATTGTGATCAATCAAGTCTAATCTCTTGGCCTACACTAGTAACTTTCCAGCTGGCTTGCCTGTATTAAAACTTATTCCTCAACTACCACCACCACTCCAGCTTCCTCAAAATCTACTTTCCAACTTGCAAGCAGAAAAGTGTGCTAAAACTGAAACTTGATTATGCCCTACACTTTAGTGAAGGCTCATTACTCTTTCAATACTGTCTAAGAAAAGTACTAATGTTACCAGGTTGTTGTGGGATCTGATTTGCCTTCTCCATCTCCTTCTCATTATCCAACCTACACACATGGACAATACTAGACTAGTGTGCACTTGAGCCTCACTCTTTCTTACTAGAACTGTGCAAAATCTTTTATTTATTTTCTCTTCTGGGATACACTTTCCTTCTACTTCTCTTCACCATACAAGTGCCTACCAATACTCCACATCTTTATTTTTATAATTTGTAGAAAAAGCTTTTAGTTTTGGTTGCCTTTGCTCTGGTACATGGACTTGAACTTAGAGCCTGGGTGCTGTCCCTCAACTTTGTGTGATGTTCTACATTTGATCCACAGCTTTACTTTTGGCTTTGTTTTTTTGGGGGGAGGGGGGGTTGCCATCAGGCTTGATCTCAGGGTCTGGGCACTGTCCCTAAGCTTTTTCATTCAAAGCTAGTGCTCTACCATTATGAGCTAGAACTCCACTTCTGGTTTTCTGGTGTTTAAATGGAGGTAAGTGTCTAATGGACTTGCCTATCCCGGCTGACTCTGAACTGTGATCCATAGGTCTCAGCCTCCTCAGCAGAAAGGATTACAGGAGTGAGCCAACAACATTCAGCTTACTTCTGACTTTTTGAATGATTAATTAGACGTAAGAGTTTCACAGACGTTCCTGTCCAGTCTGGCTTTGAACCACTATCCTTGTATATTAGCCTCCAGAGTAGCTAGGATTACAAGTATGAACAATGAGGACTTTGCAAAAAAGGCTTTCTTTGACCCCTTTGCTATTTACCATCATGACTTATTGGAAATTAATTGTTAAATAATCTGCTACTATGTCATAGTCCTTGAAAAGAGGAAAACATCACAGTTGTTCTCATCACTATATATTATCTGTGCCAAGTATAGTACCTTGGAAACTTACAAAATAATAAAAAACAAAACTCTGTCAAATAATCAGTTACCTCTTTATACTTCCCTACTTTGATTCATGCTATCTTTTCTGTCTGTACTGTGTGATCCATCTTTCTTACATCTGCTACTGCTACTCTGTTTTAAGACTCAGTTCAGCATCTGCCAGAAGTCATTCCTAAAGTTCCAGGCTTAGTCACATATATCTACCTCTTGTAATAAATTGCATAGTTATGTATTTATTTCTATTAAAGTGTTCAGGAAGGAAGATTCTTCTTCAACTATTTTTATTATGTAGCACCTCAGAATGTTGCTTAAAATATAATAAATGCAGGCTGGGAAGGTGGCTCAGTGCTAGAGTGCTTGCCTTGCATGCATGAGGCCCTGGGTTCGATTCCTCACCACCACATAAACAGAAAAAGCTGGAAGTGGCGCTGTGGCTCAAGTAGTATAACGCTAGCCTTGAGCTGAGGAGCTGAGGAACAGCACCCAGGCCCAGAGTTCAGGCCTCTTGACTGCCCCCCCCGCCCCACAAAAAAAGATATAATAAATGCTATGTAAATATTTTTGAATAGTAGTTATCAATAAAATTTTATTTGCCAAACATTGAATACCAACCAGTATAACATGTTTAGAAGTAGGTATTTACATTTAGAATCACATTGATAAGCTGATACCTTCATTTATTAATTCAATAAGTATCTATTGAGAGCTTATACTTCTCCAGGGCATTTTAAAAGGCTGATAGTTTTGACAGGGCATTTTAAAAGGCTGATAGTTCTTTCCTTTCTTTTCCTTTCATCATTGTCCTTTTCTTTCCTTTTCTCTTTCCTTTTTTTTTTTTTTTCTATACTAAGGCTGACCTAGGCCTCACTGCTACAACTCTAGTAGTTGAGCTATATCTCTTTTGCTTTTGAGGCAGTCTCATTAACTTTGACCAGATTGGTCTTCCACTTGCAATCCTCCATCTCTTCCCTGAATAGCTGGGATTTCATGACTGTCACCATGTCTGGCTTAATTCTTGAGGCAGGTCTTACTACGTAGGCTAGGTTAGCCTCCAATTCCCTATCCTCCTGCCTCTGCCTACAGGGTGCTAGGATTATAGTTATGTACCACTACACCTGGCACCAACATATTTTCTTAACAGTCTAAAACTCAATCTTGAAATTGGCTAAATAAAACAAGTATCATTGTCATTTCTTGGGACTGGTAAAATGGCTTAAGTGTAAAACTGTCTGCTTAGCAAGTACAATGTCCTGAGTTCAAATCTCAGTACAGCCAAAAAGATTGTCATTTGGTACTAATGCAGCATATTTTAAATTAAAACTAATTTTGTATAACACAACATGATGATATCATATTATCACACTGGGTAGTACAGAAGACAACCAATGATTTGAAAGTTGCCAGTGCTCTTTACTTTCATAAACTAGAATTCACAAGCAAATAGAAATTCAGTTAACCAACTTTATATGTACTAAACAGATGAAAAGAATAGTAAATAATTAATTTGGTTAACAAACCAATTCATTTTACTGTCTTTAACATGGCCCTACTTTTTTTTCACACATTCCTACATCAACTTTTTTTGATTTTGTAGAGTTTGTTAGATACCTCAGATTGGCTTGGCACTTGCTATGATATTTAATAATTTGAATAATTTATGAGTTTATAGGTAAAATTTATAAAAAATGGTGAATACTTTCAATTTGTCATTTCTCTTCCCTATTTGATTTCAAAAAAATTTCAAGGAATAGAAAAGTCACTCTAAAAATAAGAAAAGGGAAAACAGAAATAGTTCATCCAATGACCTAAGACTAGAATGATAGTAATAATCCAACTTATAGGTTTACTGTGGAAAAGGAAAAATCAAAGTGCTACCATTTTGGGATTGTTAGACAATTTAATATATAGCATATAAGGCAAGGCTTTGGCTAACCCAAAGAGCAGTGGCTTAGCATTCAAAAATAAAGACTTTTAGGGCCTAGTGTATTGGTACATGTCTGTATTGGTTCAGGTCTGTAATCTCAGAAGTTGGAAGGAGGAAGTGGAAGTATCGTGAATTCAAGGCTAGCTTGAACTACATAGAAAGACCTTTTTTTTTTTTGGTCAGTAGTGGCGCTTGAACTCTGGGCCTGGTCTGTCCCTCAGCTCTTCGGTTCAAGGCAAGCACTCTATCACTTGAGCCACAGAGCCACCTCCTGTTTTCTGGTGATTAATTGGAGATAAGAGCCTCAGGGACTTTCCTGCCAGGGCTGGCTTTGAACTGCAATCCTCACATCTCAACCTCCTGGATAGCTAGGATTTCAGGCACACTCAGCCACAGCAAGACTCTTGTACTACATAGCAAAACGAATAACAAAAAATTTAAAAGTTTAAACTAGCTATGGTAATGCATGCCTATACTCCTGATTTTTTGGGGGTCTAGGGGAGTAAACTACAAGTTTGAGGCTAGGTTTGGAAAATAAAATCTTAAGCAACATCTGAGGATATATTTAGCATAGCAGAAGAGTGTATGCCTATTATGTACAATGCCCTTGAATTTAACCCTCAGTACTGAAGAAAAAAAAATGTGAAGACTTTCAAAGCAAATTTGGGCAAAATACTCCTCATTGGATTAAATGAATACTGATCTACAAGGGAGCAGAGCCTCAGGAATCCACTAAGTTGTCAATTTTTTTTAAAAAGTAACTGGCAATTTGTTTCATATCACTAACACCTGGATTTATACTTATGGTAGAAAAGGCTATGAAAACAATTTTCATTTATGCAGATAGAAACTGATGACATCTTACTTGCTGTTCCAGTTTTTCCCATCTTTACACCCAAGTTGTCGAAGTACACTGCACCTGCATTAAAGATTTAAACACACTTAAACAAAATATGATGAAAAAAAGGTTGAAGGTGTCATGTCAAATGAAATAAAAGCAGCTTACCTATTAATAAAGTCTATGGCTTGTGCTTTCAACTGTTCTGCACTGTGCAAATCTGCAAGGACAAGGGTATCAGCAACATTGTCTACTGAGAGGTTGCTACACAAAGCTTCTTCACACATGACCTTCAGCCGTTCCAGTGCATACTATCCAAGAAAAATACAACCATTAAGCACTTACTACAATGACTAAGTTTTCAAATACATGACATTTGCAACTTACAAAATAAACTAGAATACTCTCTGAATTAAGGTTATTTTAATCACTGAATCATGGTTTTAACTTAATGTAAAGAAAATATGATTGAATACATTTAGGAGAAAGAGTAATTTGTCTTGGAAAAATTCAATGTACATTAGTGGAAAATACAGTATATTACTCTACATTATTCTTTACACTAAAATCTTATTTATATTCTGAAATCTTATTTATAACTAATGCATATATTATATATTCATAACTGAGTATATTTCTTTTTCATTATTTCACACCTGGAGTATACCAGTGAGAATCACTGCCTTTTGCCACTACTCAAACCTGAAGAATGAACTGAAAGCTAAACAAATCATATTAATACCAATAAAAAGTCCTTCAATTATTATAGCATGCATCTTTAGCAACTTTGAGGTATAGTTGGCCTACAATAAAATGTTTATATAGGTTTACACGTTGATAAGTTTTACAGCCATAAAAAATCATCATCTATTCCAAAGAGAATGACTCATTGTCCTCAAAAGATTTTTCCCTATCCCTTTGTAATCTTTTCCTCTTGTTCCACCACAGGCAGCTTCTAATTTATAGTTATCATTATAAATTAGTTTGCATTTCTTTAAGTTCCTACAAATAGAATCAGAAATATGTACTCATTTATTTTAAAGTCATACAAGATCAGCTTTCAAACTTATTTTATTATTTGTGTGTGTGTGTGTGCCAGTCCTGGGGTCTGAACTCTGGGCCTGGAAGCTGTTTCTGGGTTTTTATGCTCAAGGCTAGAATTCTACCATTTAAGCTACAGCTCTATTTCTGGTTCTATGGTGTTTACCTGGAGGTAAGAGTCGCATAGACTTTCCTGCCCAGGCTGGCTTCAAACCTGGATTCTCAGAACTCAGGATTACAGGCATGAACAGTGTACTGATAAATGGCTCGCCGGCCCTTCTGTTAAAAGAAATCTGAGCCAGAAGTAGAGCTGTAATAGAGCTCTAGCCTTGAGCATAAGAACTCAAGGAGAGTGGCCAGGCCCAGAATTCAATCCCCAGACTGGTACAATCAAACAAACAAAGCATTAGCCTAAAGAGTAATTTTATTAAAAATGAAAAGTAGGGAAAGATATCACGTTGGTTTCATAAGGTGGGTCTTTTCTCCTTTGTGCTACACCTGAGGTGCATAAGTAGTATTGTTTATATGTGGAACACAAGTCTATTAATTATAAATTCACATATTTTACATGCCATTAGGATTAGTTTATGTTTACTACAATCACTCTAAAGATCTATGTAGTTATTTTTGTCTGAATCTTTCCCTAAAACAATTAACTTCAGATCCATGTATGTAACTGCTCATGTGTTAAATAGTTCAATCCTTATTCTTGATCAGTATTCCATTAAATATATATATATATACAAATATATATATATTTATACATATACCAGAATTTGTCTATCTACTTGAATATTTGAGTTATTTCCAGTACTCAGCTATTACAAATAATGTTGCTATGAACACCCACATAGAAACTTTATATGTATATAGGCTTTCTTTTTTCATAGCTAAATATCTAAAAGTGGATTTATTCAAGTATGTGATTTTAACTTTTTAAGAAAGTGCCAAACAACTGTCCAAAGTAGTTAAAACTTGTTATACTCTCATTAGCAGTGTCTGAGAGTTCTAATTCTTTTGTAACTTCAGAATAGTATAATCATTATAGTATTAGCTATTATTGAGGTGTGAACAGGTCTATCATCACTGTGTCTTAATTATATCTTCCTGATGACGTTGGGTTTTTTTAATATTTCATTTATTTCAGAAAGTGTTCAAGCATTCTGTACACTCTTGGAAATAACAAATTCTTTAAAATTTAATTTTGAGCATTCTTATACAGTCTAAATATAAAAGACATACATTCAGTGTGCTTTTAGGTTTTTCTCGTGCTAGATTTAAGATTTTCTGAGACCTCTGAGCTTTTCTACCTTAAAAGAAATTATTACATTATAAAATTGTCAAGATGTTTGTCTACCTTCCATGCTGTCATATTAAAAAGTTTAATTTATGAATACAAATGTTTCATCTTAAAAATACTACATATGAATACCAAGAATTTGAAAATTCTAATAATTTTATATGCTTGTAATTCTTATCAAAGGCTATTTATATATGTAATATACATAAACATATTCAAAACTATTATGCTTATAGTTTAATTCCCCTGGGAGAAAATCACTTCTTTCTTTTTCAAGGTGTTTTTACAGCTTGTCATTTGCTTAAACAATCTCAGTTCTGTATTACCCTACTGTATGCTATTTCATAAAACTCTGAAGCGCCACCTACAAATTGAATAATTCAATACTTTGAAAACAGTTGGGAGTTTTCATTTGATGATAGTCTTCTATATACATCAAGCTTTAGGATATTTTTCAGCTCCTTAAAACCTAATTACTTACTTTGTCTGCAGCTGCCAACAAGCTGTCAGCCATTTTATCAAGATTTGGTGCTTTTCCCGTGTAAACAAATTTCATCATTTCTTTAAAAACCTCAGGGTCTAAATCATTTATTTCCACTTGGTTCTGATATTGAAAACAACATAGAAAAAGTCTTAAAAAATACTTACATACAAATGAACTAATCTGAATCATTGACAGCAATTAAAATACCCAAATCTGAACAAAAGTACTTTGCCACACACACACACACCATTTCCAGCTTTAAAGTATACATCTTCATACGCAGTTAAGCACTACTCTGTGGAATGTAAATCCTACTTTTTCAATATTAAAAAGATTTTTAAAAATTCCATAGGTAAAACAAAATACATCCATGTCCAGTTTCTGATTTCTACCTTAGAGAATGATGGCTATTAACACTTCCTTGTTGGATTTCTACATTCTAATAAAATGTCTAAAAATCCAAAACCAACAGCTGTATCCTTAGCATTAAGCAAACAGAGGACAAGTAGTTGTTTGGGAGTAAGAGCTCACTGCCTCAGGAGGACTAGTTGCTTTTTCACTTCTGTATCTTGGCATTCAGTTCTCTCTTAAAAACAATGAAGCTAAACAACACCAGGTTTTTTGACATCTTACTATCAATAACATTTGATACTATTGATATCCCTCTCCCATAGAAATCACTTAGATGTCATCTGAACATTGGACATTGCAGCCCCTAGGTCAACCATGAGTGGAAAGAAAGCAGATATTTAATTACAGCCTCTATAATTCTCCAAAGCTAGGCTACATGAATAAACTGGATTTGTCCAGTGGGAACCTTAAAGCTCACATTATGCAACTGTCAAAGAAAAAAAAAATCAACATCTGATCTCTAATATAAATTCATTTGTAAATGACAGAAGAGAGAAACACCCGAGATTACTGAGTATACAGTAGTACTGATACAGTATGACCTTTTTGGGTTTTTTTTGGTCGGTTGTAGGGCTTGAACTCTGGGCTTGGACGCTATCCCTCAGCTCTTCAGCTCAAGGTTAGTGCTCTACCGCTTGAGCCACAGCACCACTTCCGGTTTTCTAGTGGTTTATTGGAGATAAGAGTCTCATGGACTTTCCTTGCCCAGGCTGGCTTTGAACTGTGATCCTCAGAGCTAAGCCTCCTAAGTAGCTAGTACTACAGGCGTGAGCCACTGGTGCCTGGCATTTTTGTTAATTCTAATATATATCTTTTTTGGTGGTGAGAAAATTTAGACATGGGTTTTGCTGCTAGAAAACAAGAAAGTTAACTTACAATGTTTAGAAATGGGGAGTGCATAGTTCATTTTTTGGTGGTACTGAGGTTTGAATTCAAGCCTCATATATTTTAGTCAGGCATTGTTAATTGAGGCATACTCATAGAAAGAAAGGAAGAACATACAATTTAAACAAAGACCTCTCAATTAGTTACAGACTAACACAGCATCAAATTCCCACCCCCTTCTTTTTGTGGTAGTAGAATGAATTGAATCCAGGGCTCTAACCTTAAGCCACACCCTGCAGGGTAACAGCTACCCACTAGTTTACCTTCCAGAAGAGCTTCACCACAGCTACTGCTTAGAATATTCATTGAGCATTCACAGGGAGCTACACCTATCATTCTGCTACACAAGTTTTCTGCTGTTTATATGACTTGCAAATATTTCCCCTACTCATCACAATACAACAATAAGAACATGTACTAATATTTTATGTACAATTAAATATTAAACCTCTGAGCCATTTTTACCTTTTTGCTCTCTTCCATTTCATGTTCAAACATTGCATTAAACACCGGGGATCGAGCTGCAATAAGATTGAGTATCATTATTTAATACACACATTTATTTTAAAAATGTATTATTTTATCCAAAATATAAAGTACCTGCAAGCACAGATTTATGAGCTTTAAATTCTTGTCCTCGCACAAAAAAACTGCAATCTGTAAATCTTGTGTTTTCCCAGAGATTACCTAAATCTTCTGCTAGTCGACATTCAGGCACCTTCAAAGTATTTGTATTAGTATGTCCTGATATGTTTACTGAATCTTGGACCACACTCACCTATTGAAAAAGAGACAGCAGGAAAAAGACATTCACTAAGTATTGTCAATAATTAGTTATTATATCTATACTTATTAGTATCTTTAAAATCATTGGCTTATTCAGTACTGTTGATCAAAAGATCCTTTAAGAAAAATCAGAAGACAATCAGATCTTTTTATTGAGTAGTAACAATTTCTGTAAATAAATGACATCAATTAGTTGGGAAGCTAAATTATTATAACCTCCAACACTATTTTGCAATAGGAAAGCCTCGATATAATGTTAAACAAGAAAATGGTATTTTTATGAAGTAGAGGAAGAAAGCTTTTTTCACTTCTATTAACATTTAAATTTTAGCATATATACCAGATGACTCAAGTATAAAACATAAAGCTGTATTCCATGATATGTAAATTGGAAACTTCTTAAAAGTGTTGCACCTACAAATTTTAATTCCACCAGAACTGATTTAAATAGCTAGTACAACTGACTTAAAAGTTCATGAAAACCTCTTACAGAAAATCAACAGAAAGAGTAATAATAATTTAGTTCAATTTGTTGACATTTTATTTACCTATGAAATAAATAACAAAAGTTGGTATGGCTACAATTGTTTTTATGCAAATTCAATGTTATATTTAAACCAAAACCCACTAAACTGATTAAAAATTGAATAAAATCTTAAATATTAGCTAAGCCTTTCATATCACTTTAAAAGGCGCTCTAATATATCAAATATAATTTCAGCTAATAAATCTTCAGAACAAATAAATTATCTTTCAAAATTAAACAAGGAGTGCTGTTAGCTATCTGTTATTTTTATATTGCCAACTTTTTGGGTCATTTATTATGTGGCAATAATTATTTTCAGTTTTTTTAAAGTATGCATAAGGATACATAAAATGTACATATAGCAAAATGGAAATTAAAAAGGACAAACTGTGTCAAAATTATTAACATACTAATACATGAAGTATAATAAAATCCAACATAAAATGTTTTTAGAGTCTGGATAAACACAGATGAACATCCATCTTGTGAATTAAAGAAAACTTCTATCGAAAAATGAGAAAACCTTTAGATATTAAGTGTTCTCCCACCAACACACAATATTAACCTTTCTGGACCCACAAGTGTCACATTATCACCTAATCAATTCACCTTATTTTACAGAGATTTCGAAGTGTTATTAAGACAATATAGATAAAATGCCCTAAAAATCTTAATACAAGTTTGTATGAGAACAAAAACAAATTATTTCAATTATTAAAGTTACTTGTTCTAAATAGCAATTTTTAAAGTGCTATTTAAAATTAAGCAATATTACTCTGTAACATGATAATGACTTAATGTATTACCAAACTCTTCTTCTGAGATGGTTTTTCTAAATACAAAGGCTTTGTGTATATAAATAAATATACCAATTAAGGTCATCTATAATTTATCAAATTCTTCAAACTTCTAAAACAGGGAAAAAAGCTACCTGATTACCTGATTACCCTGTTACACTACATATTAAATGCCAATAATATATAAATTAATACTGTTGCTGTTAATATTCAAGCTTTAGTTAAGGATCGGGATTTTTTTTTTTTTACACACTTAGTGTGTTCGTTGTTCTTATCAAGAAGCATTACTCTAGAAATTTCTAGTCAGAAGCAACCAGGACTGGTAAACTACTTACATAAAGTATGTATTATTTATTTTTAAAAATGTGACAACTATTAATTAAGGAAAGCCTTCTTTTTTTTTTTTTAGTGGCACTGGATTTTGAACTTGGAGCTTCAAGCTTATTACACAGGTACTCCTCAACTTGAGTGATGCCCCTGAACTTTTTTTGCTTTTAGTTATTTTCTAGATGGGGTCTTGCCTCAGATCCATATGCTCCTACCAATTGCTTCACCATGCCTAACTAATCGAGATGGTGTCTCACTACCTTTTTGGCTGAGCTAGCTCTGAACCACAATCCACAGTTGTGATCCACGGCACCCAACCAGTATAGAATTTTTTTAATTCCACTTATCCATCCCAATTGTATTTAAAATAATATACTTACAGTAAAAATTTTGTAACAGCCAGGTGATAGAAAAAAATGATTAAGATAATATAGATATTATCAGGTATAGACACAGATGTTTTTATTTGTATCCTGATAAGCGATGATAATTTAAGCAACCATAATTCACAAGGATTTCTATTATTAACTTACCTAATACCATCACACAACCACCAATTTGAACTAATAATTAACATTTCATACTCCAAAGAATATTCAAGTGACTATTTATAGAAAAATAGTGACCTAACAAAAATTGACATGCCATGATTTTTATGACTGTTTCTTCATGTCTACAATTAAACAAATTATACAAATTTAGTATTCCCTATTATTCAAAAAAGATAGTGGAAATAGGCTTAGTCATGGAACCTAGAATTAAAAATTCAGGAAGAAGGCTGAGATTCTACTTACTTATTCAACAGTTGTTTTTCAAACATATTTGACTCAATACTAACAATATAAAGATGAAAAACTGAGGCAGTTAATCAAATGACTATCCTAAAATCTAAATTTATTCTACTATGGAGTTAACTATGAGTTTCAATTTTAAAAACATGAACTCTCCAAACTATTCTAAAACCTAGGAAATCTTGAAGCTATGTAGTACACTACAAGCTATTCCTCCAATAAACTATCCTCATCTATCTCCCCACTCTGGCTCTAAACTTTTAAGATTCAATTTTTTTCACTGAATTCTAGATTATTGGGTCTTAGTTTCTGACTTTCACAGATAGGAGCCTCTTAAAAAAATCTAGTGACATATATGGTAGTTGGCTTTTCATTTTGCCAAGACAGGTGGTTTTGAAAATAAAACCCAACTTATACCCACTATTACAAAATATTTTAAAATAGAAAAGCTATTATTTATATTAATAAAATAAATAGTATGAAAAAGATGTGTTCTTAAAAATAATGAGTTTAGTTTTACTTCTTTTTCACAAATGGCTTGAATCTGTAAACTTAACACTGAGTATTTAAAATTTGTTGGGTTTTACAAAGATGAACTAACACAATTAATTTTCTAGTTTTATTTATTGCTTATTCCTGTTTTCTGCATTATATGGAGAGAGGAGGCAGACCTCCTCTCTTATATTGCTAGTTTCATCTATCTCTTACCACTTCAGTTACCCTGCAAGATTATGCTGTCTTGTATAGAAAGGGTAGCACCCACCTGCCTTACCTGTCTACAGCACCACTTGCAGGGGAGGGGGAGGAGGCAGTTCTTAGGGAGGGCAGTGCAATGCTTCCTCCTCTTCCTCAAGCAGTGCTAGAGATGCTGTCGAAGGAAGGGCATCCATGAGAGGGGTAGAAGAAATGACTGAGGGCACGAATAATGTTGTTAAAAGCACTTTTTGCCCACCTATGCTAAATATGGTGCCCAGGGTACAAATGCATAATTTGGGATCTAAAAATAGATGGGATCAATGCCAACTTACAAAATTGTATATCATGGTTGGCTCAACTTTCAGAGGGTAACTAACATGTATAATCTAAAATACAGATACTTAACATACTTCAAATATACAGAACAAAAAAAACCTTAAACTTAATTTCAGCCTTAATTCTGAATTTAATTGTCTAGGTTCCAGCAAAATACACCTAGGAAATTATCTAAAATCATTATTTCAATGCTAACATAGGGATTATTTTCTATAAAGGTCCTTTCATTAAAAAAGAAAAAGAAAACAAGATGACTGGCTGCAGTTTCTTTTGAAATAACCTTTAAGGTCCATTAAACTATAAGATGATGTTTTAAAAAGTTACACATTCAAATTTAAGATAGCTGCTAAAGTCTGTAAGATTCTACATTTTAGGATAGTAAAATTTTTATTTAGTGTATTTATTTAGTCTATTACTTGGAATACCTGTCTAATCTCAACAAGTACTTTAAGTCTTTTGGATTTGAGTGAAACAGTACTTATATAATTCTTGAATTGATTCCAAAGATGATTCTCAAAAATTCATTCAGATGAAATTACTTAATTGATCATAATGACAACAGCTAATCCAAACATTAAGACAAATAATAAGTCATTGGTAGGAGCAATACTGACAACTTTTATAAAGTTTTATGAATATAAAGTAACTTTATATATTTGCAAAAACAAATATGTACACATTTAACACTGTGATATCTACTTATCAGAATGCTATTACCTACATAATTAATCCTTCCAACTGTTTAAAAAATTAAGATTCCCTTCAGGTACTTTTAAAATTCAAACTGATAAACTTTGAGTAGTATGTTTAATATGAAAAATCTAAAATAATTGGCCATCTATGTCAGTGTTATTCAGAATGAAGAAGATATTTAGAAAAGTTCATACACACATAAAAGCACATCTAGTCTTTTCAAGAGTGAAAAGGATTTAATATGTAGTAGTGTAACGACACATACAATTTAAAGTTAGAGATAAGATCAAAATTTTTCCGTTTGGGCCACCACACTGATTTGTAAGAAAGTTTTAATTTAGTCAGTTTTTTTTGGTCAAGTATTTACAAATGAAACCTTATTAACTATACCAATTCCTTAATTTTAAATATACCACGAGTAGTTCAGTTTACATTTTGCCATATTACTAAATACAATTATAAGGGTTCTTTATAGTTAAAATATATATATATATATATATATATATATGTACATATATATACCCACCTCACAAAATAATGTAAGTTTGTCATCTGGTAAAAGACCATTAGCTTCATCAAGCAAAAAATCCCTTCTAATGAATTTTTTAAATCCCCAATCCTTTCCTTGCACAAATCGATATGCTCTTTGGCTTTCTGATGGAAAAGAAAAGCTTAAATAAAACAAGTATACAGGAGACATTTTTTCTTAATGGATTTTTCTTAATGATAACACATTTTAAATGAAATGTTAAAAAAGCAGGCTTTGGTTCTATACATCATAAAAATCTAAGTATGTATGTTCACAAAAAACATTGCCCTAAGAAATAAGTGAAGAACCAGATCATTCATGCTGCTACTGAAATTTTGGCCATGAGATAACTTGGTCAGTGAGCTCAATTTAAGAATTCTAGGCTTTTAAAGAAAAATTCAGATCAAATCTAGTAGAGAAAATTAAAAAAAAAATTTTTTGGGGGGGGGTCCGGTCGTGGGGCCTGAACTCTGGGCCTGGGCGCTGTCCCTCAGCTCTCCAGCTCAAGGCTAGCACTCTACTACTAGAGGCACAGTGCCACTTCCGGCTTTTTTTTCTTTTTGCTTATGTGGTGCTGAGGAATGGGACCCAGGGTCTCTAGCATGCAAGGCAAGCACTCTACCACTGAGCCACCTTCCCAGCCCAAGAGAAGAGAAATTTTTTGAAAACAGTCTCAACCTAAAATGCAATGTTGACAAAGATACAGTACAAAACACTCATTATTTAATATCTGGCTAGACCTCAGGTTGAAATGTACCTCTCATTTCCAGCTTCTTCCCTTTAAAATATATGCTCCAAATCACCAAGACATCTCTTAAGCATTCCTAACAAACACATCCTACCTATTTAAGTTTTACTTAACTACAGAAAATCCAAAATCTAGTAAACAAGTTAAAAAAGCTCCTAGTCAGCTAGCATTGGTGAGTCATGCCTGTAATCCTAGCTACTTAGGGGGCTGAAATCTGAGGATCACAGTTCAAAGCCAACTCAGGCAGGAAACTCATCCCTACAAATTAACTACCAAAAATGCTTAACACCTAGGTCCTGAATTCAAGCTCCAGAACTGGCACACAAAAAGCTCCTAATCATTCCTTTACTTAAAAAGAAAAAAAGGGGGCTGATTCCAGAATGTGGCTTAGTGGTAGAGTGCTTGCTTAGTATGCATGGAGCCCAGGGTTCGATTCCTCAGTACCACATAGCAGAAAAAGCCAGAAGTGGTGCTGTGGCTCAAGTGGTAGAATGCTAACCTTGAGCACAGAGAGACTCAGAGGGACAGTGCCCAAACCCTGAGTTTAAGCCCCATGACCAGCAAAAACAAAACAAAACAAAAAACATAAAAAGAAAAAATACTATCATGAAGGTTTAAAACACAGTTTTAGCATGATTTATCAAAGGCTTTTAAATAGATATCAGAAGCAAATGCTTGAAATACCTACTATACTGTAATAACTGTAAAATAAGAAATAGAAATCATCTTTAGCGTCTATAAAATGGAGGTAGAAAACCAGTGATCTAACTGAAATTCTCCACTATCTTAAACATTAAGGTAAAAATACAAATTACTTCATCAATACAGTATTTTAAAATGTGTTATTGTTACAAAAAGGCACTTGATTCTAAAAATTATTAAAAATTTAGTGTGGCCACTCATGAGATACTATCTCATTTAATGTATCCTATATATATCAAAGGATATGTTGATATATATGTCTTTTATTATGAGACTCCAGGCAACAACTAGGGCAATAAACATAAATTCTGGGCTGAATTTAATAGTCTCTGGGAGTTAGTACTCAGTTTATCACTCAAAAACTTCTAGTGCCAAGATATTAGGGCATTCCTTCTCCTCTGCATCTTTTTCCAGATTATGCAGCAAATAAATCAAAGGAAAAGAAATATTTCTTAAACATATTATTTAATGCCAGGTATCTTCTCCTAACAGTAACTATGTTTCCAAGTAACAAGTAAAATGTTATTTCAGGACATAACAACTCAAATGTCTTATACAGTCTAAGATTTACTGAAACAACCATAGACTCCCACTGAAATTTAAAATTAAGACAATGGCCAATTTAAGTATTTGAGGATAAGCAGATTTAAGCATGGTGGGGAAACCTTCAGACTTTTCTAGGTAACATCAAGGGATTGCAACCACTTCTTCACTCAGTTTGCAAATCACTTACCCATTGCTTTTGTTTCTTCCCTCTTAGCGTTCAGAAGGGAAAATTTGAATTTTGCTCGAACTTCACTTTTGGGGCAGCTGACTAAAAGCAAATATAAGGACAAGTAGTCTTTACTTTCATCATCTAATCCTTTTGGATTTACCCTCAGGCACCTAAAATAAAACAACAGACTCACTTGGGAGAATATAATACTTGCAGAATACAATAAAAAGAGAAGCAATACTGAAATCATGTTAATATCATAAATGGCTTTTCCATAAATGTCCCCTCAGTTCTTCATAATTCTCCATATTATTAGATACATATTACCAATTCAATGTAAAATTGTACTAACAGTACACTGAAAAAGCAACAAGAATAACAACAAACCAACTGTAACAGCTGATTATTAAGTTAAAAACAAAATCACCACCCCAAACACTTACCATTTCATTTTGTCACTTGGACCAGATGAAAATGTTGAACTTTTTAACACTTCACCCATTTCTTCTCGGCAAAAACTGAAGTTATTAATGGTCCACATGTAGGAAAATTTTACTACTTTTACCTAAGAGATTCAGAAAGTCACTTTTTATAATAATGATGCCTAGTCTTCTAGGTAATCATGTCAAGCATCCTATAATCCACTGCATAAATCCTTCTAATAACTAGTAGTTATTAGTAGTTCACAACAATATTCTCAATACTCTGAAAATTTAAAGTGTCATAAAGTAATGCATTTTAAACACATGTACCTGTGTATAACACCAGCTTTCTGCAATAGGACCAGTAGACATATCTCCAGGCAGAGGTGGGGTGGGTTCTCGAGACATTGCCACCTTATTACAGATGTTTAGGAGTTATACACTATCACACAATGTCGAATAAGTTACCTATAAAGAAAAGAAGTTTGATTACTGATCTTAAATGAAAAGAGCTAACAAGGAAGATTTACTTAAATTTTATAGAACAATATTCAAAATCCAATTTAGAGGTAATGTGAAGATCTGAAATAATTTTAATAAATGAATCATATGTAAGGCCTTGAATTTAAACAAAATTCCTACTTATAGGTAAAATGACAATGTTGCTACAAAGTTGTCATTATAAGTACTAGTGACACACCATAAAATACAGGAAGTTTGCACCAAATAAAATACAGATTTCCATAAAAGTCTATATGTACGCCAGAAAGGCCCCCTGAGAAGACTTAAGTCTCTATCACATATCTCTATCACTAACATGCATTCTCTATCATATGATTTCTGTCTAGTTAAGAGTTGTAGCACACTTCTATAATCTCAGCTATTTGGGAGTTAAGAGATCAGGGAGATTGTAGTTTGAGGCAAGCAGATAGGTAGTGAAACTGTATTTGATATGGTTGGAGTAGCTCTAAGTTCAAACCCAGGTATTGCAAAAAATGAAAACACACAAACCATGAACATTAAAACTACGTATTCAAAATAAAAAAAAAATTCAACAAGTGAAAAATCTGTGTAAAGTTTTCTCAGAATCAGAGAAAAATGACTAAGGTAACAAAGAACAAGGTGAAAGACACTTAATGCTTAAAACTGTAGATGGGTCCATCCTATAATTTAATGTCTTTTACATCTCAACTGTAAGCATTTATGAAAAACTGTAAATATCTTTTGTAGTCTGAGGAGCAACAGCAACAAAACAAGATTTCATGGATAAATGACTCATTCACACAGATCTTAGCAAGCTCAGATTTTTGTTTTCTTATTAACTCACAAACTTTTCACTTAATTTAAGGGAAGCATTTTCTGGCTTTCACATTGCTATATCACTAGTCTTGTGTATCTGAGCCTTTTTAGTTGTCTATTGGGCTAACAGTATATACAGTATAGCAAGGCAGCATGAAATTTTATCATGTTATTCAAATTAACAAGTTATTTCAGAATGAGGTTTACTATGAAAAAATGAAACTGGAGAAGACAAAAATCACAGATTCGGGGAGATCATTGAATGACCTACCTAATAACTGTATGTTGTCTCTTAAGTGATTAGACATACAAACCCTAAACACAATGTGAGTACAAACAGTTGTTGACTTATGATGGTCTGACTTAAGCTTAATCTAGTTTAGAATGGTGCAAAAAAAGATATATATATATTCAACAGAAACTATATTTCAAATTTTGAATTCTGATTCAAAACTAGGGATATACAGTAAGGTATGATGCTGGCAGTATCTGAGAGTCATAGCTCCCAATCAGCCATAAAATCGTGAAGTTAATGTGTATTGTAGACTAGCAATCATGTTCCATAGCTTAGATATATTTATAGTTCACCTACAATTTAGGGTTTACCTAATAATATCCCATGGTAAGTAGCAGCTATACTGGACTAGACAAACTAAGCATGTCCTTACTGATGAAATCTAAGTGTGAATAATTTAAGCAAGGGCCCCAAGACCCATAGTAATCAAAGCAAGATTCTTTCTATGTATGTATGTATGTATGTATCCATCCATCCATCCATCCATCCATCCATCCATCCATCCATCCATCCATCCATCCATCCCAAGTACTGAATGCTTCTGAATGCGATACAACAGCTGAAGGAAACTATTCTATTGAGTAGAAAGATATAAATAAATAAATAAATGTTGAAAGGAATCTAAAGGTGCTCAGGCAATTGGGCCAAGCAATCTCAAGATTTCAATGTGAAGGTGATTTGACTTCTACCTATCTTCCACAAGAATATATGCTGATTCAAGTCCTAGAATGAGATTCAGTGTTTTATTCAGACTGAGAGCCACTGCCAAAGGATAATTGGGACTGCAGGTAAAAACAGGATGCCTCTCAAATAAAGGCCTGGAAAGCCAAAATTATGAGAAGACCAACTGTATCAATACATAGCTTTAAATCACTCTTTTATTTTTTTATTTTTTGTGAACATACTGTACAGAGGGGTTACAATTACATGGGCAAGATAATGAGTACATTTCTTATCAAGCATTGCAGCCTCCTCCTTTGTTTACCCTTCCCATCCCTTCCCAGCCTCCCCCCTCCCCCCACCCAATTCTCCCCCTCCCCCTTTAAATCACTCTTGAATCACTTCAGTCACTGACTACATGAAAGTTATAACTTTCCATACTATGTCTAAGAAGGGACAAATCCTTTCTGAAAGAAAGCATGAGAAATTTTCAGTTTTTATAATAAAAAGTATTCAAAAAGGAGAAAAAAAACTACCAACTTGCTAAAAGACAGATGCACATAAATGAAAACTAGGAGAAAAAGAAAATAAAACAAAACCCCATCAGCAACGACTCAGCCTCCCAATACCCACAAAATGCTGAAGGTGTGGCTCAAGTGACAGAGTGGTAGCCAAGAAAGAGGCCCTTAAGTTCAAACCCTGGTACAAGCCAAAAAAAAAATTTTTTAACCAAACAACAAAAAATAAAAACAAAATCCCAGGCAACGTAATTTTACCAAGAGCTTAAATGGTTTTAAGAAAGAAATGTAGCTCTGGGAAGTGACCGAAATTAGTATCTTAATATAAACATTTAACACAGCCTTAACAGTAAGTTAGGACTACAAAATGGTTAGAAAGGTCCAAAGATCTTTTCCCTGAAGCAGAGTGAACAGGGATGAAAAACACGAAAAGAATCTACAGCATATGACACATGAGAATCTAACAATATGTAAGTGGAATCACAGAAGGAAAAGTGAGTCATTATTAACCCAGGAGGAAGTGGTGCTGTGGCTCAAGTGGTAGAACGCTAGCCTTGAGATGAAGAGTGCAGGAATAGCACCTAGGCCCAGTGTTCAAGCTCCAGGACTTACAAAAAAAAAATAATAATACAGGAATTTCTTCAAATTGACCAACAAAACTGTAAAGAATGTCTAAATACAGACTTATATGTTAGCTGTGATATAAAAGGGGAGATAAATGGGGTGAAATCTGTTCTTAGTGTGAAAAGAAGTATTCTAAAGGTTCTGCTTCCTAGAGAAGTGAAGTGGTAAGAATAATTATTGGAAGTAGCTGCATTAAGTCAATGAAGCATGTATACTATTTTCTCTAGGATAACCGCTATAAGGGAAAGTCAGCATAACTAAAAGTGAGGGGGAAAAAAAGGCAGATTAAAACATGCAAATAAATAACTACATCTACAGTAAAAGGAGCTAAATTCACTAATAATCATACTTAACTAAATTAACAAATACTTTAAAACATGACTACTAAATGCATCAGATCTTAGAACTAAAAGAAATGACAAAAATGGCAGAACTCAGAATATTAAGGTTTTCAGCTAGTTAAAAGTACCAAACAAACATTAATTTTTTTTTATTGTGAAAATACCAAACAGATGGGTTACAATTACATGGGCAAGATAACGAGTACATTCCTTATCAAGCTTTCTTGGATTTGATAATTTTTAGATATTTCTACCATTTAGTATAGTGAAGTGTTTATATACATATTAAACATACTATGATTCTGAGACAGGTTGATGACAAGCTCCATGTCAAGAAGCTAGAAAAAAATAGTCAAACGCAAGTAAAACAGAAGAAAATGATAAAGATTTGAGAAGAATTCATTAACTGGAATATAGTAAAAGTATGAGAAAATATAAAGCTACACCTACTTCATATTAATAAGTAATAAAAGTGGACTAATCAAAGACAGAGAACCAAAATGTACAATAGCAAAAATGACAAACTAAAAGATGTTAACATTAATAATTTTACCAACTGTGAATTTACATGAAATGTGAAAATTATTTTAAAACATAATTTACCAAAACAATCAAATAAAAAGAAAAGTCACAAATAATACTGTATTGGTTAATACCTAATTATTTTCAAAGTATCCACACAGAAAACCACATAGCTTATTGCACTAAATAGTTCTCCCATAGAAAGAAACAAAACAAAAACATTTGACAGCTTTTTCATAAAATCATTGTTAATTTTTATACTTAAGTCTATCAAACACAAGAAAAATTAGCATAGGAACACTGTCAAACACACACAAAAAAACCTCGGCAAATCAAACCTAGAGTGCATGAAAATTTGTTAAACATAAAGGAAATAAAAAGATCGTTTTGATAGCTACAGAAAAAGCCGTTGATAAAATTCAATGCTCATTTAATAGTAAAAACACTGTGCTGTCTGGATGATGGGAACTAACAGGAAGAGACGGACAGATGAAAGTGAAGGAGGGTGAATATGGCCCAAGTATATGTAGAAAAATTGGTGAAGCTTGTTGAATTGTTGGAGGAATGGGGAGAGGTGAGGAAAGAGTAACTGAGAGGCTTAGTGTGATCGAGGTACATTGTATGCATGTATGGACACGTCAAAATCAAACTCTTGCCTAACTAATTGTGCTAATAATATGTAATAAGAAAAAAACAGTGACAACTCTACAAACAGGCTGAAATAATTTGATTAAATTTATAAAGTGTCTCAATCTTTGTTATCTGTCTGAAGTATGGCATCCTTGTAAGATGGCTATAGATAACAATGACTATTTCAAAAGTGTGTATTTACCCCAAAGAAATATTTAACCAGATTCAAAATATTATACATCATATACATGTACCACAGCATTATATTACTCTACAAATATATAAAATTATATATGTAAACAATAATAATGGTAAAAAATTATATATGTCAATAATATACTGGGCACTGGTGGCTCATATCTCAGAAAAAGCAGAAAGTGGTGATATGGCTCAAGAGATAAAACTATGTAGCCTTGAGCAAAAAGAAGCTCAGGGACAATACCTAGGCCCAGTTCAAGCCCCAGGACCTCCCCCCACCTCCCAGAAAAAGGGTGGAGAAAAGGACCATTATCATCATTTACACTGAATATTACTGCAGGTTCTGATTAGAACCTAAAGCAAGAAAAATTACACTATAAC